AACGAAAAATTTTCAAGGGTAAAAAAAATCGGGTCGTTACACTTCAGTCCGTACTCCAGTCAGCAGACATTCACGAGCAATAGCAACATCCTGAATTCATAAACATCACTTAGACAAAAAAAGACAGAGGGAGTTAGAACCAACTATGGCCACCGTAGCGTTGAATTACCTGGAGTAATAACATTAAAGTGCTACAACCTATACAATAACTAAAATCAACCATATCAGCATATACGAACGATACACCCAATCAATACAACATGTAACACCCTGAATTTATCTTTCTTAAGACGTGGTAACAGTCCTAAAAAATGGGACATACTGCTAGATTCTCGCATGAGCGAGAAAGGGTTCGCCTGGGCGAGAGATGGCTCACTTTGGTGAGTGGAAAACTGGGAGATGCCGAAGGATTCTCGACTGGGGTCAGTGTTGAGTTTTTAAAATGGGCGAGATTTTCTCCCTTGAGCGAGAAAAGGCTCGCTTGAAAGAGAGCCCAACGAGGAAACTTTAAAATAGAAATCCCAAACACTTTTAGGGTCAGAACTTTAAGAGAAAATAGAGAAGGCGGCGATTTTTTAGAGCAAGGATTCATGGGAATCAACTAGAAGCTTGAGAAGAGGTAAATCTCTTGATTCTAACTCTCTTTTTCCCTTTCAAACTTGTTTTGGATATATGGGATCTCTTCTCAAAATGTGAGAAACCATGGAAACTATTCCTTTGGAGTTGTGGTTCGTTTTATTTAGTTTTTCGTTTGTAAACTCTTGGTTTAGGGTTGGTATTCGAAAAATGGAAAGGGTTTATGGGTTGATTCATGAAAACCCCAAAACCCCCAAAATGAAAATGTGGTTAAAGAGGAAAATGGGTGAAATAGTAGATGTAGAGGATGAGTATGTGTCCTAATGTAAAATAGAAGATGAATATGTATGTTTTTGATGTTTGGAAATTTCTAATGAAAGTGGTGTTGGAAACATTGAAAATGTATGAATCTCCTATATGGTTAAAGATGAAATATGAGTTGTTTATATGTTGTTGTGAATAAATTACTGATTTTTGTTGTTGTTTGGTGGGAATGAGGAAAGATCCTAAGGTTGGAGGAGGTAGCGATGGAACTTGCAAAGTTACCCAAAACCGACCCCAACACTCACCAAGGTAAGGATAAGCATTTTATTCCAAGATATGAAACCTAAGGTAAGAATTGAATGTCTTGCACAAGTGGTAATGAATTGAATATCTTTCCCAAGTGGTATTGAATTGCATATCTTGCCTAAGAGGTATAGAATTGAATGTCTTGCCCAAGTGGTATAGAATCGAATGTCTTGCCCATGTGGTATAGAATTGAATGTCTTGCCCAAGTGGTATAGAATTGAATGTCTTGCCCAAGTGGTAAAGAATTGAATGTCTTGCCTAAGTGGTATAGAATTGAATGCCTTGCCCAAGTGGTAATGAATTGAATGTCTTCCCCAAGTGGTAATGAATTGAATGTCATGCCCAAGTGGTATTGAATTGAATGTCTTGTCCAAGTGGTATTGAATTCAATGTCTTTCCCAAGTGGTACTGGATTGAATGTTCTTGCCCTATGTGGTATTGCGAAGGTATGTGTAGGTGAGAAATAACTACTTGAAATGGGAATAAAGAGGAAGGTAACAAGGTTTGACATTGAAGAATGTGAAAGAAAGAATGGGCGGATGAGGTAGTATGAAATAGAGATGATATGGACTGACTTCATGTTGGAATGTTTAAATTGTTTATCTAACCCTGTTTATAATGTGGATTATCTCATAATGATATTTATTGAATTAATGACTTACTCCTTTGTATGTTTTTGTGTGTTTATCATTTGATAATCCCATTGTAGGTAAGAGGATGTTTAAGGAATGACTTGATTAGGAGCCTTAGGAGCTTAGCGATAAAGATTTTATATTCGCAATCTTCGGTGTACTATTTGGATATATGTTAACTGTTATTTGTATTTATGGGTGTATTTGATATTGTAACCCATAACCCAGTACATTTCAATACTTCTTTAAATTATCAATGTGTATTATGTTTTTCTGCAAATGAAGGTAGTTAAGGTATGTTTTATGTTCAGGATCATAAATGATAAAAGGAACAGAAAAATTTAAGTATGAGGGAATTTGATGCATGCTTTAAATTGAGAAACTAATTATAAATGAGTTTAATTAGACAGAAAATTTTCAAGGGTAGAACTTGGGTCCTTACAATATGGTATCAAAGCTTAGTTAATTCTGCGGCCTAGGGTATGGCCTTACGTGCTTCTTTGTGACCTTTATGTGATTGAATTATTTGGTTTGTACAAACTGTTGCGTGATTATGTGATCCTTGTCTAGTTAAAATTTGGTTTATTGACAAGTGAATAAGTACAGGTACACATGGCTGGAAGGGGAAGAGCAGCGAGTCAGAATGTTCCGAATGACCTTTCGGCTCAGATGATGGTTGCACTGCAAAATGTGAACGAGAATTTGCAGACTCTAAATCAGAAGACAACACCAAGTCCAATTTCGCAACCCTTGGTCCCATCAGGACCGGCTGGGTATCGAGGTCTGGATGAATTCTGTAGCAGGAACCCTAGTCAGTTCCATGGCGTTTTCGCTCTTGATGCAACCATTGAATGGGTCCAAGGATTGGAGAGAATTTTCAGGGCCATGAGCTGTTCTGATGCTCATGGGACATACTGCCAGATTCTCGCTTGAGCGAGAAAGGGCTCGCCTGGGCGAGAGATGACTCACTTGGGTGAATGGAAAATTGGAGATGCTGAAGGATTCTTACCTGAGCGAGATTTGGCTCGTGTAAGGACCAAAATTCTATCCTTGAAAAATCTTCTCATTTTAATATAGATATTCCTATCGTCTCTATTTCTCTTCAGTTAAACAACATTCAATACTCTAAAGTCAGTTATCGCAATAAACTAGAACCCTTCTTCCCATGGAGCAGAAAACATAATTCATATATTCCCTTCTTGGTAAGTACCGCATATGACTAGCTATGGGATTCCAAAATACCTGTAGCTATTAATATCCAGCTTTACAAAAATGTAGTACTAATTCAGTTAGGATTTACAATTTTCCAATTAACAGTTTGCATCAATCAAACAAAAAGAATAGGATTTCGAGTTCTAAGCTCCTCATGCCTCGAACCGGGTATCCTCAATTTCCTCGTTTACCTGCAATGGGATTATCATAACAGATATACACAACAACAACAAAGGAGTAAGTTATCAATTCAATAAATATCAGTAAACGATAATCCACATTTTAAGTTTTACAATACAAGAAGTCATAAAATGATAAAATCTACATCTCTTGTTTATCCCTCTCAAGTTACTACATCCACCCCTTTGAATTCACTCATTCATCTCTGTCATACCTTGTCACCTCCTTCATCAATACCATTTCAAATCATTATTTTCCAATTGCACGTTTACCTTTTCATCACCACTTGGGTCAGGTCATATACAATACCACATAGGGCAAGTCATACACAATGCCACATAGGGCAAGTCATACACAATACCACATAGGGCAAGTCATACACAATACCATATTCTCCCGGATTTTCTTGATCTTATTCGTCGTCTCCTGAACCAATTCGGGCCCCAATATCAAGTTGTCCCTAGTTTCGAACCAACTCACTGGAGTTCGGCACTTCCTACCATACAACGCTTCATAAGGTGCCATCCCAATACTCGAATGGAAGCTATTGTTGTCGGTAAATTCGATCAACGACAACATGTCATCCCAACTCCCTGGTTGTTCTAAGACACAGGCTCTCAAAAGGTCCTCCAACGACTGTATTGTCCTTTCTGATTGACCGTCTGTTTGTGGATGATAAGCTGAACTCAGCTTTAACTTAGTTCCCAAAGCGGTTTGCAAACTAGTCCAAAAGTTTGAAGTGAAACGGGGATCCCTATCCGACACTGTGCTTGATGGTATTCCATGCAAGCGAACAATTTCTCGGATATACAGTTCTGCCAATCTCTCCAACGAGTATCTCATGTTCAAAGGCAGAAAGTGAGCAGATTTAGTTAACCGATCCACGATCACCCATATCGAATCATAACCTCTCTGAGTGTTCGGAAAACCAGATACAAAATCAATGGAGATACTATCCCACTTCCAAACGGGAATTTCTAGGGATTGTAATTCTCCAGCTGGCCGCTGATGTTCAATCTTGGACTTCTGACATATCAAACAACTCGAGACATACAATGCCACATCCCTTTTCAATCCAGACCACCAAAACAGTGTTTTCAAATCTTGATACATTTTCGTGGTCCCTGGGTGAAAACTCGTCTTACTCTTATGGGACTCCTCTAAAATCTCCCTCCGTAATTTATCATTACAAGACATACACTCTCCCTTTGTATTGCAACATTCCACTAAGGTCCGATGTGAAATTGGTATCTTTACCACACAACATCAGATCTAGTTTATCCATCAACTCACTATCTTCACTTTGCATTGTCCGGATTTGTTCAAACAATTCATTCGTAACTTTAAGCATTCCCAAAATCATACTATGAGGCCTTATCTGAACTTCCAAGTTCATATCTCTGAACTCTTCAATCAGTTTCTCCTCTCTAACCATCAAAGCCGAAATGTGCAACGATTTTCGACTCAGTGCATCCGCCACTATGTAACACCCTAAATTTGAGTCTTCAAGATTATAGTAACAGTCCTGGAAGCCTCGCTTGAGCGAGAGTTGTCTCGCCTGGGCGAGAAATGGCAAATTTTGGGCTGTTGACACAGTGTAATCGATTACATGCTGATAAACTAATCAGACTTGTGCATCTGACATAGTCTAATCGATTACACACTCCTGGTAATCGATTACATCGTATTAAAAGCATCAGATATGCGCATTTTTCACGTTGTAATCGATTACGCCATGTTGGTAATCGATTACAACCCGACGACACCTCTTTAAAACAGAAACCCAAACACATTTTAGGGTTAAAAACTTTGAAGGGAGGTGAGAGAAGAGAGCTTTTCCAAGGGCAAGGAGTTTTGATACTCACCCAAGAGCTTGAGAAGAGGTAAAACTCTTGATTCTAACTCTCTTCTTCTCTCTTAAACTCATTTTGGGTAGGTTGGATCTCTTCTCCAAATGTGAGAAACCATGGAAACTCATCCTTTGGAGTTATGGTTCGTTTTATGTCATTTTTACCTTGTAAACTCTTGGTTTAGAGTTAATATTTCAAGAATGGAAAGGGTTGTGGGTTGAGTCATGAAAACCCCAAAACCCTAAAGTAAAAATGGGGTAAAAAGAGAGAGTGAGTAAAATGTTAGAGGTAGAAGATGAGTTTACCTCCAAATGTTGGAATATGAGATGAATATGCATGTTTTAGATGGTTGAATACTTATGATGAAAGTAGTTTAAAAACATCGAACATGTGATGAATATCTTGTATGATTAAATAATGCAATAAAAGTTGTTTATGTGATATTTGGAATAAATGACTAACATTGTGTTATATGGTGGGATGAGGAAAGATCCTAAAGTTGGAGGCGGTGTCGGTGGAACTTGAGAAGTTGCCAAGAACCAAACCCAACACTCACCGAGGTAAGGATAAGTCTTTAATTGTGCATTTGAAATGGAAAAGGTGTATTTTCTAAAGATGCAATGATTGAGTTGTAAATTACGCATTTAGTATAAATATATATGGGTGTGTTTATATTAAAGTAGGCGTAGAATTACGGAAAAGGAAAATATGTGTATTTTCTGGTTGTGCCATAATTAAGTGGTGAATCACGTAGTTTAGTATAAACATATATGGGTGTGTTTATACTAATGTTGGCGTGGATTTACATAAATGATTTATGAGGAAATCGTTGAAAGGAAAATATGTTTTAGCCAACCATGAATGTTTAGCGACTCTGGCTTGAGTATAGAAGCATGAAAATGATTTATGAGGAGAATGATGAAAGGAAATATGTTTTAGCCAACCATGAATGGTTAGCGACTCTGGCTTGAGTATAGAAGCATGAAAATAATTTATGAGGAGATTGATGAAAGGAAATATGTTTTAGCCGACCATGAATGGTTAGCGACTCTGGCTTGAGTATAGAAGCATACACTCTGGCTTGAGTATAGAAGCATGAAAATGATTTATGAGGAGATTGATGAAAGGAAATATGTTTTAGTCGACCATGAATGGTTAGCGACTCTGGCTTGAGTATAGAAGCATACACTTTGGCTTGAGTATAGAAGCATGAAAATGATTTATGAGGAGATTGATGAAAGAAAATATGTTTTAGCCGACCATGAATGGTTAGCGACTCTGGCTTGAGTATAGAAGCATACACTCTGGCTTGAGTATAGAAGCATGAAAATGATTTATGAGGAGATTGATGAAAGGAAATATGTTTTAGTCGACCATGAATGGTTAGCGACTCTGGCTTGAGTATAGAAGCATACACTCTGGCTTGAGTATAGAAGCATGAAAATGATTTATGAGGAGATTGATGAAAGAAAATATGTTTTAGCCGACCATGAATGGTTAGCGACTCTGGCTTGAGTATAGAAGCATACACTCTGGCTTGAGTATAGAAGCATACACTCTGGCTTGAGTATAGAAGCGTACACTCTGGCTTGAGTATAGAAGCATACACTCTGGCTTGAGTATAGAAGCATACACTCTGGCTTGAGTATAGAAGCGTAAACTCTGGCTTGAGTATAGAAGCATACACTCTGACTTTAGTATAGAAGCGTAAACTCTGGCTTGAGTATAGAAGCGTATTTGTTTTAAAGGAAAGGAGAATCTGCTTTTAGCTAACCCTAAGGGGTGTAACGACTTTGGCTCAAGTTATGCAGCAAGACAAAATGAATTTCGAAATGGTTTACTAACCCATTTTTCTAATGTGGATTATCTTATAATGACGTTTATTTAATTAATGACTTAGTCCTTTGTGTGTTTTGTATTTTGTCATTGATAATCCCATTGCAGGTAAATAGACGAATGAAGTATGCCAGGTCGGGAGCTTTAGGAGCTTTAGACTTTGGATTCACTATTTATGTTTTTCGTATTCTAAATGATTACTTGCGGATTTAAATGATTGTAATCATGGCTAACCATTATTTGGATATTTGTAACCATGCGTAATGTTATTTTGGAGGATCAGAACCTTTGAGGTCTTAGTACTCATAGGGAATGATATGAATGAATTATGTTTTTCTTCAAGATTAATTGTATGATAATATAATAGGTTATAAGATTAGTTCTAGGAATGATTCATGAGAACTTTTAGGTAAAATGATTATGTATGTGGTTATTGATTCATGGATTGAGTGTGAGGAGGGGAAATAAGATTTTGAAGTAAGGATATTAAAATGGTAATGTGAGTTATGAGTGATTGAATGGAATTGAATTAAAATGAGAAAAATTTTCAAGGGTAGAATTTGGGTCCTTACACACTACATTGGCCTTTCCCGAGTGGTACTGCAACCCAAAATCGTAATCCTTAAGTAATTCCATCCATCTCCTCTGCCTCATGTTCAATTCCTTTTGATCAAATAGGCACTTCAAACTCTTGTGGTCGCTGTACACTTCAAATCTCACGCCATAAAGATGGCGTCTCCATATTTTTAAGGCAAAGACCACTGCAGCCAACTCAAGATCGTGGGTAGGATAATTTTGCTCGTGCGTCCTCAACTGTCGAGAGGCATAGGCCACAACCTTCCCCTCTTGCATCAACACACAACCTAAACCTTGCTTGGATGCATCACAATAAGCACTGAAATCCCGATCAATACAAGGAAGGACCAATATTGGCGCCGTAGTTAACCTTCGTTTTAACTCTTTGAAACTTTCTTCACATTGAAGTGTCCACACATACGGTTCCCCTTTCCTAGTGAGTTTTGTCAAGGGTAGAGCCAACTTCGAAAACCCTTCTATGAACTTCCGATAATACCCAGCCAAACCCAGAAAACTCCTGATCTCAGTGACTGACTTGGGCACTGCCCATTCCATAACCGCTTCAACCTTTGAAGGGTCTACCGCCACTCCTTCCTTGGATATCACATACACAAGAAAATTTACTGACTCCAACCAGAAGTCGCATTTTGACAGCTTCGCATACAACCGATTCTTGCTAAGAAGTTCTAGCACAATCCGCAGGTTCTCAGCATGTTCCTCTCGACTTTTGGAGTAAATCAAAATGTCATCAATGAATACTACTACGAAAGTATCTAAATACGGATGAAAAATCCGATTCATGTAGTCGGTAAATATTGCTGGAGCATTCGTTACCCCAAAAGGCATGACCAAATATTCAAAATGTCCGTACCTAGTCCTAAACGCCGTCTTAGGAATATCTTCCGACTTTACACGAAGTTGGTGATAGCCCGACCGAAGATCAATTTTTGAGAACACCACTGCTCCTCTCAACTGATCCATCAAGTCATCGATCCGAGGCAACGAATATTTGTTCTTAACAGTGAACTTATTCAACTGCCGGTAGTCAGTACACAACCGCATACTACCATCCTTTTTCTTAACCAACAAAACAGGCGCACCCCAAGGTGAGACGCTAGGACGAATGAACATATTTGCCAACAAGTCCTCAACCTGCTTTTTCAACTCCGCCAATTCTAACGGTGCCATCCTATAAGGAGCGATAGAGATGGGTCTCGTTCCCGGTACCAAATCAATAGAGAATTCAACTTCTCTTACTGGAGGTAATTCCGGAATTTTGCTAGGAAATACTTCAGGAAATTCACGAACTATCGGAATGTCCTCAACTTTGGGTTTTTCACTATCCTCCAGGGATGCCAACAACATAAACACGACCCCTCCCTCTTTACAAAAAGTCTTGAATTCTTTTGCCGACAATGGCTTCATGTCATTGCCTTCATCAGAAACCTCATCAAGATTTCCGAATACCACGGTCTTATCCGCACAATTTAACATCACATGATTAGTGGACAACCAATCCATCCCCAAAATTAGATCCAGCCGGGTTAGTGGTAAACAGATCAAATCAACGGTAAAAGTTCTATCGTTTACCACTACTGGACATCGAGACACAACTGTCGATACCACAACAGGCACATTGGTTGGGGTGGACACGACCAAGTCGATAGGCAACGACTCGGTTTGTAATTTCAGTTTATTCACGCAGTCTTTAGATACAAAGGAGTGTGTCGCTCCCGAATCAAACAACACTAAAAGCGGAATACTTGCCACCGTGCAGTTACCTTGGATTAGACCATCAACCTCTGATGCCTCTGCACCACTCATGGTAAACACCCTACCAGTGTTTCTAGGTCTCTCGGCATTTCCCCCATTGGTCCTTTGGTCGAGTTTAGGACAAAACCTCTTCACATGCCCTTGCTCTCCACAGTTGAAGCACCCATTCCCAGATCCAGGACAAATGCTACCAATGTGTCTCCGATTACACTTACTGCACAATGGGTAGGAGTTCTGAGACGACCCCCCGGTAACAGTAGAGACGGTTGGTCCTTGGAAACCTTGGTTGCGATGGTGGTGGGGTGGAGCATAAGGTCGTCGGTCTTGACTCATCCTATCTTTACCCTTCCCTGGCACAATGTGGCGTTGGGGGCCATAGTTTCGTGGAGGGTTCACTTTACCAGCAGCAGCATCCCTCACTCGCACATTATCCTCATGCATTCTACACTTGTTCACTAGTATAGGAAAATCAGCAATTTCTTCGTGACCAAACGTCACCCTAATTTCGGGCTTCAACCCTATCTCAAACTTCACACATTTGAACCTCCCGTCCAACTCTAGTTCAGCATAAGGGCAATATAAGATCAATTCTTCAAATTTTGCCGAATACTCCCCCACTGTCATGTTTCCTTGCTCTAATTGCAAGAATTCCATCTCCTTCTTCCTTTTCAGGTCGGCAGGAAAATATTTCTGGAGGAATTTTCCCTGGATGGTTCCCCACACGATGATTTGCCCTTTGGTAGGAAAATATTTGTCAGCACTGCCGCAATCTGTGCCAATAATGCGTTCTGATCCGATCCTCTCCCATGTCCTCTTCTAGACATTTTAGTAACGGTTACCTGCACTCATTTGTTCATCAGTATTCACATTTTACCAGATAAATCACCACATAATCACATAACATTTTACCAAAATCACATAATTAACATCAACTAAAAAGTTAGAAAGAAGCAAGTAAGGCCATACCCTAGGCCGCAGGACTAACTATGCTCTGATACCATATTGTAAGGACCAAAATTCTACCCTTGAAAAATCTTCTCATTTTAATATAGATATTCCTATCGTCTCTATTTCTCTTCAGTTAAACAACATTCAATACTCTAAAGTCAGTTATCGCAATAAACTAGAACCCTTCTTCCCATGGAGCAGAAAAACATAATTCATATATTCCCTTCTTGGTAAGTACCGCATATGACTAGCTATGGGATTCCAAAATACCCGTAGCTATTAATAACCAGCTTTACAAAAATGTAGTACTAATTCAGTTAGGATTTACAATTATCCAATTAACAGTTTACATCAATCAAACAAAAAGAATAGGATGAGTTCCCATGGTTTTCTTCATTTTTTAGAAGAGATCCAACATACCCCAAAGTGAGTTTAAGAGAGAAAACGAGAGTTAGAATCTAGAGTTTTACCTCTTCTCAAGCTCTTAGATGAGTATCCAAGCTTTTTGCCCTTGAAAAGCTCTCTTCTCTCACTCTTAATCTTTTCTAAAACCCTAGATTGTGTTTAGGGGTTTCTTATTAAATGTTGTCTCGTCGGGTTCTCGCTTAAGCGAGGGATTCTCGCTCAAGCGAGAATCTCACAGTGGCCACAACCCCAAAATGACATTTCTCGCCCAGGCGAGACATCTCTCGCTCAGGCGAGAATCCTCCAGTATAGCCCAGGATTTCACCCTCCCAGGTGAACCTCTTTCGCTCAAGCGAGGATTCGAGGACTGATACTATAATTTTAAAAACTAAAAATTTGGGGTGTTACAGCTCGCTTGGGCGAGGGAGAGGGGTGTGGATAATAGAGGATCCTCGCTTGAGCGAGAATCTCTCGTGCGAGAATCCATCGCTTGAGCGAGAGCGTTAGTGTTGAGTTTATAAAATGGGCGGGATTTTCTCGCTTGAGTGAGAGCCCGACGAGGAAACTTTAAAATATAAACCCCAAACACTTTTAGGGTTAGAACTTTGAGAGAGAAGAGAGAAGGGGGCGATTTTTTAGAGCAAGGATTCGTGCGAATCAACTAGAAGCTTGAGAAGAGATAAATCTCTTGATTCTAACTCTCATTCTTCCTTTCAAACTTGTTTTGGGTATATGGGATCTCTTCTCAAAATGTGAGAAACCATGGAAACTCTTCCTTTGGAGTTGTGGTTCATTTTATTTCGTTTCTCTCTTGTAAACTCTTGGTTTCGGGTTGGTATTCGAAAAATGGAAAGGGTTTGTAGGTTGATTCATGAAAACCCCAAAACCCCCAAAATGAAAATGTGGTTAAAGAGGAAAATGGGTGAAATAGTAGATGTAGAGGATGAGTATGTGTCATAATGTAAAATAGAAGATGAATATGTAAGTTTTTGTTGTTTGGAAATTCCTAATGAAAGTGGTGTTGGAAACATTGAAAATGTATAAATCTCTTATATGGTTAAAGATGAAATATGAGTTGTTTATATGTTGTTGTGAATAAATTACTGACTTTTGTTGTTGTTTGGTGGGAATGAGGAAAGATCCTAAGGTTGGAGGAGGTAGCGAAGGAACTGGCAAAGTTACCCAAAACCGATCCCAACACTCACCAAGGTAAGGATAATCATTTTTTTTCCAAGAAATGAAACATAATATGTACGGTTATATGTGGATGACTCGAAAAGAATAAGATGTGAGAAGTATTAAATGTTGAATGTCTTGCCGAAGTGGTAATGAATTGAATGTCTTGCCCAAGTGGTATTGAATTGACTGTCTTGCCCAAGTGGTATATAATTGAATGTCTTGCCCAAGTGGTATAGAATTGAATGTCTTGCCAAAGTGGTATATAATTGAATGTCTTGCCCAAGTGGTATTTAATTGAATGTCTTGCCCAAGTGGTATTACATTGAATGTCTTGCCTTGTGTGGTATTGCAAAGGTATGTGTATGTAAGAAATAACTACTTGAAATTGGAATAAAGAGGAAGGTAACAAGGTTTGACATTGAAGAATGTGAAAGAAAGAATGGTCGGATGAGATAGTATGAAATAGAGATGATATGTACTGAC